CCCCCCCCATCACAGCAGTGTACCGACTTCATCCTGCAGGCTAGCAAAATTCCTTTGGGAAACCTTAACATATTCACCCTTCAACCCTGATCACACCCCTTAAGACTTTTTTGGTTCCTCAAACTCAACATTTCAAAGAAACACATTTGAGTCCCTTGAGGATGCGAAAAGCTATTTTAACAGGGTATAAATCAGAGTCCTCAGAGTCGGCAGGAGTGAGGTAGAGAGCCACACACACTGCCTTCAGAAGTGTGTAGACTTAGGTGGAGAGTCTGTTGTCAGACAATAGCTTCACATTTTTATGCTTTTGTTTAATAAAGATTTCGGTGATATTTTTTTTTGGCAGTACATTTGCACTTATACCAGATGTTTTGAAATCTATTAACTATTGCCTACCTTATAGTAGTTTTAAAATTACACTGCCTTTTTAAAATTTTCAAACAAGCATGGTTTAATCTTTAAAAATGTAATGAAAAGATTATTTGAGCATTTATTTTTCACTTTTAGTTTTTCAAAAGTTAATGTTTATTGCTTTTTAAATGCTTTTATCTTTCAGAAACCAGGAGAAAGTAGTGAAGTTGAAATCATCGTCAAGTGATTGCAGCCATTTTATAAGAAACTGTCATTGACTAAGGTCATTTAAATTAGTGGAACAATAAAGCCAATTAAAGGTGACTGTACAGGAAACATTAAAAATTGAACAATGACTCAGCTATATATTTACATCAGATTATTGGAAGCCTATCTGTTCATCATTTCTCATGTTCAAGGTAAATCAATGTTCATTTAAGCAATCTAATCATTTTTGTTATTAATTTACTTCTGAAAAGAAAAGCTTTTGTTCTGGTAACTGCTCTTTTAATGCTTGTCCTTTGTTGAACTGTTAGGCCTAACATAACAGTATACTTTTAAAATATGCAGAAAGCAAAGCATGCGAGATAATTTTGATTATTTGCCTGTTTAATTATGAAGTTCCAGCCTTTCTGAGCCTATTTTCTCATCTGTAACATAGGGATTATGTACACAAGGTCAAGTAATTGTGAAGGTTAAATGAGGTTAAAGTATGTAGCATAATGCCTAAGACAAAGGATAATATGAACTCAGTAAAGGTGAGTTTTGACATTTCTGTTGCTTTTAAAACTACAGTAATGGATAAGTATAACTAATAATCACTTTATTGCTCTAAAAGACTTTAGAAAGGTAAATGGTATCTATATAATCTGAACACAAAAATTTCCTCACCAAGTGTTTAGAAGTTTTATTTCTAATCAATATAACAATTTCACTGCTGTGTGCTTACAGCGTGGAACTCCCAAACAGGAAGTTATTAGGATGTTCTTAAGATCAGATAGACTGTGTTTGCACATGAGCTGTTTCCTGTATGGTTTAATTAGGATAACATTTTAAACTGAAGAGATAGTACTGTTTTGCAAAAAGATTTTAAAATAGAACTTACTTGATACCTTTATTTTTTTAAGCTTATGACATTGCACATTGCAGGATGCTGTTTCGTAATGTTCACACTAATATCTGCCCACAAGAAAAAAAATAAGATTAACATCTTAAATCTTTTGACATTTTATGTTAAATTAGCAACATATGAAATCTATAGCTTCTTTGTGCTCTTCCTTAGTATCTTTATTATTAACAGGTTCAGTATACAAAGCTCTCTTGCAAAAGCCACTTTTGTGAGAAGCTGCATTATTAATACAACATCTTTATTTTAGCATCCATTGTAATGGGCTTTGTTTATGTAGTTTTGAAGTTGATGTAAGTTACTAGTAATGTTTATCTTGGCTACCTTACTCCCAAATCATCTCCATCTTATAATTAGTGATTAAAAATCACACAGAGGCAGTATGATAAAAAAATCTTCATTTCCCTACCTAATTCAAGTGGCTGTAAAATGAACTTTACATTGGTATAGTAATTTGGCAACCATTTCCAGATGTAAGTGAAAACAGTCTTAGAAACAACCCTGTTTCTCTGCTATCGAACAAATAGTTTTTACTCTCTCAAATGAAATTAGTTTGGCAGTTGCTTCAAATGGTGACAAGATATTTCTCTTAAAGAAAAGAAAGAACAAAAATCAATGTAGATTTGTTTTTAAAGATCACTAAGAAGGGATTGTAGAGTGATATTGGTGGAAATAACTTTAACTTTAGTGAAAGCTTTATCTTGATTTGAGTTCTGGCAAAGTAAATTTCTCTGCACTTTGGTTTTCTTGCTATAAAACATAAATGAATAATACTTACCCTATGATTATAATCTGAAAATCTTAAGAGTATCCAGTGTGATGAAATATGTTTAAGTGTTTTCCATTGTTAAAAAATTTTCAAGTTGAAAATAAAAATGGATCACCTAATATCTCTAATAGACATTTAGACTTCTTTTTAACTTGGTTCCAAATTTTATAAAAGAATTCAACTTTCTGTAACTGATTATCTAAACAACAGTGACTGAAAACAAATACCGTATATACTTGTGTATGAGTCAAGTTTTTCAGCACATTTTAAGTGCAGTTTTTGTGGTAAAATTAGCTGCCTCGGCTGATATTTGGGTCAGCTTATACTCAAGTATATATGATAGATTTATTTTTAACAAAAATGGTAGGTAGATGCTGATAGTCAATTCAGTCGTGTGTGATGGTTGGCGTCTCTGTAATTTTCTTTCCCCCCATTCCCATCAATTTTTATAAATGGCTGTCATTACCTGTAGTCAAGGAAAGAAAATGGACAAAGGGATGGTGCCACCCACACCTGATCCTTAGGTCCTGGAACCATCCACCTCGCCCAGCCTACATGTTACCAGACTGGTGTGGTGTGTCATACCTTACTTCCCAGGGAGAAGAGTCCTGAGGGCACAGTGGTCAAACAGTAGGCTGCTAATCAGTGATTCAATCCCACCTGTTACTAAAGATGCATAAGTGTACTTCCAAGAAGATTTACACTTTGAAACCCCATGAAGCCGTTCTCCTCTATCTTGTAGGGTCATTCACTAGGAACTCGAATAGACTCCTCAGCAGTGAGTTGTTCGTTTTCAACTTCTTAATTAAAAGGGAAAATAGAAAAACAGGATTGTCAGGATTTGATTAGATAACATATCCGTTTCCCAGTACTGGATAAAAAGTTGAGATAGATTTTAGAGGTGGGGTTAAAGCAACATGATAGGAAGATTTAGGAGAACCAGATTTGAAGCAAAGAGATATTAAGCAAGTCCAAAGGAACACTGGTGGCATAGAGCATTATGACTTGGGCCAATAGCCACAGGGTTAGCAGTTGGGATTCACCAGCTGCTCCTTTGGAAATAAGATGAGGCTTTCTGCACCCCTAAAGCTTTCAGAAACTCAGATGGGCCAATTCTACCCTGTCCTCTGGGATCCATATGAGGTGGAGTTGACTCAATGACAGTGATTTTGGCTTTTGAATTTTAAGCAAGTTAATTACTGCCCTCAAGTTGATTCCAACTCAGGATTCCACTCACAGGGTGTGTGTCTTAAGACTTTACATTTTTATGGGAGTAGAGAGCATCATGTTTCTCCCACGGAGTAGCTGGTGGGATTGATCCACCCATCTTGTGGTTAGCAACTCAACACTTTCCCCACAGCACTACAATGAAAGGAACCCTGGTTGCACTGTCTGGTAAGTGTTGGATTCCTAACTGCAAGGTTGGTAGTTCAAACCCACCAGCTTCTCCGTGGGAGAAATATGAGGCTATCTAATCCTGTAACTATTCACTGTAGCAGAAATCCTATGCAGGGTCACTGTGAGTTGAAATTGGCTCAGTGACAGTGGGTTTGGTCGGTTTAGGGATATCAACAAGAACTCTGTTATTGGTATTATTGTGTGGCTGCTAATTGAAAGGTTGACAGTTGGGCCCCACCCAGTGGCTCTGAAGGAGAAAGACCTAATCTCCTGTGCAGATAATAGCCCAGAGCAGTTCTTTGTCCTGTTGGGCTGCTAGGAGTCAAAACCAACTCAATGGCATCAACCAGCAGGCAGCAAGACAACACTGAAGAGCGCATCTAGGAGCCATCAGTAGAGAGATGGTGTTTACGTTGTGGAATGGGTGATGTCACCCAAGAGCACAGAGAGGTCCTTGTTCTCTCCCTTCATTGCATCCATTCTTCTGCTTAGTGAGATCAAGCGGCATTCGTTACCAACTCTTGTTTACATAGTACCTTTGTATCTTACCATTTCTCACCTTGTATTACTTTAAGGTGCTTCATCCACTTCTAAGCCACATACAGAGTTAGGCCAGGACTGGATCAGTTTAAGTCGTTACTCTTTGTGTTTCCAGTATTTAGTACCTTTTCTACAAATTTTATTGTTAGTTACTGTCAAATTGATTCTACTGTATAGCAACTCCATGCACAATAGACTGAAATGTTTTTCCTTGTGTCTGTGCTATGATCTTTTGTATGAATATTGTCAATATCTTCATTTGTACAGTATTTTATATTTAGTAAATAACATGATCGTTATTATTTGTTTCCTCTCTGGATGATTCCCTTTGGCTTTTTCTGATCACTAGCTTTTAAAATGAAATGAAGTCGTTAAGTTTTATAGGAGTTTCTAGGATTAACAAAGTTTTGCCCTTTTTTAAAAAAATCAATTTATTGGGGCTCATAAAATTCATCACAATACGTAGATCAATTGTGTAGAGCACATCTATACATTTGTTGCCCTCATCATTCCCAAATGTTTTGCCCTTTATTACAGTGTTTGGTCTTAAAAAGTATTATAATGAGGGGCATGAGTATTATCTCACATAGTACAAGGGGACTTTTTAAAAGTTTGTGGGAAAATGGAATTGAAAGCTAATGAAGTTTTTTTTTACAATTGAGTAATAAATTTAGATATGAGTCCTTTTTGTAAACATTCAGCTTAGGATCGGAACCATTATTAAAATGCAAGGGTGGAATCAGAATACTCCCTTAATGCCGTGTTCTTTTTCTGTGTATGTGTGTGTATGTGTTAATTTTTTGTCTGTCCAACAGTTCATCTCACTAGTAGGATTAAATTTTATTAGAGGTCCGCATTGTGCTTTGGACTCTTAAGTTAACATTTACATTTAGATATGTCCTCAGTTCTCGTAGGATTTCTTACCTGTTTAGCTTTTCCTTTCAGTCGTTTGAGATTCCACCCTACATGGAATTTCACATTACATTTCAAATGGAAGGAAAGAGTTACTAAAATAGTTGATGCTTCCTATTGGAGAGATGCAGTATCAAAAGGGACAGTGTCTGTTGTGTGAGGTTACTAGACTAATTAATACAAGAACACAGTTCTTTTTCCCAAAGCTAACTATTACACAGTGACCTTGAGGTAAAAGGCGTTAGATAACATAGTCTCTGCTTTCACAGTTTCCTTACTTAATCGATTAAAATTCAAATCAATATACTTATTAACTCCATTTCCGTATTTCTAAATGACTGGCAACAAATCTCTTTCCGTCTTATACCATTCTTATAAGTTATGACCATCTTCCACATTAGGCCATTGCTTTTCTTCGGCAATAGAGCAAAGATTGTTGACCCAGTCATCTTTCTATATTGTACAATAATCTCTGTAGAACAGGTTATTAGTAAATGTGTGTTGTAGAAATGAAACGGGGTTTTTTTAATAATAAAAGAAGTATTAGCTTCAGTTTCTGTCTTAAAGAAGCTTCCAGAGACTTTTCCTCACCAAAAATTGAAATTAAGGAATTAACCTGTTAGAAATGGTCTGTTTACAAGTTTTTCATTTGAATACAGGACAGAATCCACATAGTATGCTCCAGGGCACAGGGATGAAATCAGACTCTGAGCACAAAATAACAGAAAACGGAGCAACCTTAGCACCAGAGGATACCTTGCCTTTTCTTAAGTGCTACTGCTCAGGACATTGCCCAGATGATGCTGTTAATAACACATGCATGTGAGTATTTTATGCTATTGTTAAGAGTTATGAGAATAGAGGTGTATTTAGTGCTATTTTAAGAATTGTTTATATTGGCTAATGTTATTTTAATTTTATGTAGTGTCTTTCCAAAGAGCCCCAAATCTGCTTGTTTTGTATATAGGAACATGTGTTGCCATTAAATGATTTAAAATTACTTTCTTAGGGTAGCATAATATTTTGCTCTAACAAAGTAATTTTAGATAAAATGTTTTTTTTTAATAATTTTATTGGGGGCTGTACAACTCATCACAATCCATATATACATCAATTGTGTCAAGCACATTTGTACATTTGTTGCCATCATCATTTTCAAAACATTTTCATTCTACTTGAGCCTGTGGTATCAGCAACTCGTTGTTTCCCCCTCCCTCTCCCACCCTCCGTCCCTCATGAACCCTTGATAATTTTTAAGTTATTATTATTTTGTCATGTCTTACACTGTCCGATATCTCCCTCCACCCACTTTTCTGTTATCCATCCCCCAGGGCGGAGGTTATATGTAGATCATTGTGATCGTTCCCCCTTTCTCCCCTACCTTCCCCTTACCCTCTTGGTATCACTACTCTTCATTATTGGTCCTGAGGGGTTTATCTGTCCTGGATTCTCTGTGTTTCCAGCTCTTATCTGTACCATGAACATTCTCTGGTCTAGCCGAATTTGTCAGGTAGAATTGGGAGCATGATAGTGCGGGGGAGGAACCATTAAAGAACTAGAGGAAAGTTGTACGTTTCATTGGTGCTGTATTGCACCCTGACTGTCTTATCTCCGCCCTGCGACCCTTCTGTAAGGGTATGTCCAGTTGCCAGCAGATGGGCTTTGGGTCCCCACTCCGCACTCCCCCTCATTGACAATGGTATGATTTTTTGTAATTTGATGCCTGGTACCTGATCCCATCGACACCTCATGATCACACAGGCTAGTGTGCTTCTTCCATGTGGGCTTTGTTGCTTCTCTGCTAGATGGCCACTTGTTTATCGTCAAGCCTTTAAGACCCCAGACACTGTATCTTTTGATAGCCGGGCACCATCAGCTTTCTTCACCAATTTGCTTATGCACCCATTTGTCTTTAGCGATCATGTCTGGAATGTGAGCCTCATGGAATGCCAGTTTAATAGAGCAAAGTGTTCTTGCACTGAGGGAGCACTTGAGTGGAGACCTAATGTTGATAAAATTGTTTCTCAAGGAAGTAATGATCACCAGAATGCAGCTCCGGATTAGGGTGCCTCTAGGCACCGACTTCCTTCTTCAGTGCAGGACGACTCTCTCAGTTCTCCTGAAAGCACAGGCCTCTTCTTGGCCCCCTTAGGACAGGCTCCTTGCCAGCTCTGCTGTCTGTCACCATCAGCTCTGCCACAGGGCCCCTTCCCGGCCTATTGCTGCCAGCTCTGCTGCTGAGCCACTTCTCGGCTTGTAGCCACCGCCAGCATTGCAGCCCTTGGCCTATGTTACAGCTTTTTTAGGAGCATCCTCACCTTCTTCTTTCTCTCTGCTGCTGCTTTCTTCCTCATGATTCTATCAAATTTTTAACTTTAATAATAGCTTATATAGCTATATATCCAAATATTGTGATTTCAACATGTGAGCAGTATATAAATTATTAAGGCAGTATCTTAAATTATTTATATTCTAAGCCTTTGCAATCTATTTTATACTCCCAGCACATCTCCCTGTGGACTAGACATATTCTAGATGCTCAAGAGCTACACAGGGCCAGTGGCTCCTATGGTGAGTAGTGTAGGAGCCAATTGAGTTGGTTCCAACTCACTGAAATCCTATGTGCAACAGACTGAAACATTGTCCTCCCATTGTGTTTGAACCCATCATTGTAGCCACTGGGTCAATCCATCTTTTAGAGGGTCTTTTTTTTTTTTTTTTGCTGACCCTCTACCAAGAATGATGTCCTTCTCAGGGACTGGTTCCTTGTAATATGTCTAAAATACATGAAATAAAATTTCACCATCCTTGCTTTTAATGAGCATTCTGGTTATATTTCTTCTAAATACTGTAGTGAACATAAGTAGGAGCAATAAAAAAGAGCTTTAGAAGTTTCTAATATGAGTATGGAAGTATCTCTCTGTATATATACACACACAAAATACACACATGCACATATCTGTTTGTTGAAAAGAAAACGGTCAAATCCACTCCCGTTCCCCTGTTTCTAGGCGTAGTAGTCAGAGTGACCGTAGTTAAAATTTTCAGTGTGTCAACATTCTCTTTATTTTTGCTCTTCATATCTCATTTCCATAATCTTGTGTCCCCCAACCTTCTCATTGATAACTTTAAAATAACTGTTGACACTTTGGTCTTAAACATAGCTATCCCCCCCCCCCCTTAAGTAGCACAATACTCAATGGTAGCAATCTTTATTCTTTGGGATAAACTGTTTATTTGTAAATGACTTCAGGGGACAACTTCGGTTCCAGCTTTGAGGAACACACCTGGCCATTGTCTCGGGGACTCTGATTAGGACTTTCTGATGTAAAATTATGCTTCTTCTCCCACCTCAGAACCAATGGGCACTGCTTTGCCATCATAGAAGAAGATGACCAAGGAGAAACCACATTAGCTTCCGGGTGTATGAAATATGAAGGATCTGATTTTCAGTGCAAGGTAAGAGCTGACGTGGGACCCGCAAAGAAGAAGGGGCCATACAGAAAGCGTGAATTTCCCTGCGGAGAAATGTGATGCCTCATAAGCACGTTGAGTATTTGTTCGTATGAGCCAAATTTGTTAGAGCAAGTTCCTCTCTTACCTGAAGTAATACAGTTTTGGCTATTGTTTTACTTTAAAAGGGGGTTTAAATTCTGTTTCTAGTATTATGACACTCCACACTTTGTTGCAGGTTATAAAATATATTTTATAATTATAAAGACTTTTTAAGGTCACTCCAAAACAGCTCAAAAATGCTGTCCTTATAAGTGTTAAGCCCCAAACCCAACTCACAAGGATCACACGTAGGGTTTCTGAGATGGTCATGGAGTAGACATCACGGTCTTTCTCCCGAGGAGTGACTGCTAGTCCTCCCACCTTGGCTTATACCGTGGTGCTCCTGAAAGGGGGCACGAGTAGTCGACTTTGAGTAAGGAATCTGGAATTGGCAGTGAGTTTCTAATGAGTGTGTGTTTGTATAACTGTGGGTTACAAAGTTCACTTTCAAAAATTTTTAAGCCTCACTATGTGAGAAAATTATTCCGAGATCTTCGGATAAGATTAAGAAAACTTACAGGGAGATATTTCAGCCTCTCAGCGTATGAAGTGGCCTCTCCTTACCCACCACCACCAAACACCACCTAGAGGTAGCTATCCCACCTCTTCAGCATGTGCGCACTTCTCACGGCAAAGGCCTTATCACTGCCTACCTCCATTGCCATCGGGCCCATTCCGACTCATTGCAACTCTCTCAGCCAGAGGAGAGCTACCCCTTGGGGTCTCAAGGCTGTCATACTTCTTTCAGAAAGCCAACTCACATTTTTCTCTTGTGGAGTGGCTGGTGGGTTACTGACCTTTTAGTTAGTAATCAAGAATTACCACTGTGCCACCAGGGCTCCTCCTTTTACCCCCCTAGACCTCTCTCCTTTTGAATCTGTAGAGAGATCTCATTTGCCTCATACAAAGCTTTTCCTCCTACTCATGGCAACCCTGTCATCCTGTGTACTTCTTTTGACCGTTGAGGACCGATCTAATATATCTTTTAATATGACAGCCCTTTACTATGTACAGATAGTTTTTCTTCAGCCCATTTTTCTCTCCACACCCTATAGTGTGTGGCCTGAAAAGACTGGTTTACAATGGCTTTAGCTTTTCCTGTTATGATCGATGTTACAGGTCTTCCTATCACCCTGTTTGCTCTTTAATTTCTCAGTGCAATATGCAGAATTGAGTGTGGCCCGAACAAGACAAAGAAAAAAGCAAGGATTATGTAATCCCTCTTCCTTTGTGTTTTCTGTAAAGCACAGCAAATTTGGCTGGTTGGCAGTTAACTCAAGTTGTGGAAATGTGCTGCACTGTCAGCTAACACCCCCTAGTGTTTTATGTTGCTACTGAGCCACATCTTCACTCCTTAATTGATGTGCTGCTCTCTGGACACGATAGATGGGAGTAAAAGTAGTTTTTGTTATGCAATCATTATATATTGTCTTTCATCAAATTTCATCATATGAAAATTAGTTCTTTGCTCTTATTTGTCAAGATTTGGGGTCGGGGAATGAATTGTAGTTTCCTCCATTTAACCCATTTGTATATTATTACGCATGTATGTTACACATTTTCAAATCATTTATTAAGACTATTGAAGAAAGGGGTATGGTGGGAGCTCAAAGCTCAACAGTACAGCAATGTCCTATAGGCCCCTACTCTAGACACATCCCAAATGGAATTCAAGTTAAAGCTTGAGTGTCTACATCCTGCCTCATACCATCTGTGAAACTGTGGTTAGGATCTTCACTCTCAGATTGTTTGCTTATCTATGAAGGGGTTCTCCCAAGGATCACATGAGATAGCACATATAAATGTTTATCACAGTTAAAGCACACCTGCTGCTAACTGCAGAGTCAGCAGTTTGAAACCACCAGCTGCCCTGCACGAATGACTAAGCGTATGGTCTCAGAAACCACAGGAACAGTTCTGCTCTGTTCTGTTGGGGCCACTATGAGTCAGAACCAACTAGAAAGCATTGGGATTTTTTGAGTGAAAGACTTTGTATGTCCCCATGGTGTCAGTACCAATTCACAGCCATTCCCCATGACAGTGGAACTGCCCCTCTGGGTTCCCAGGCTGTGTTCTCCAAGTCTCCCAGCACAGAGCTCCTGCTGTGGCCTACCTTCCATCTGTTGGCTAGTGGCTGAGCATTTTTAACCACTGCACCACCTGGACTTCCTAATAAATGTTAGCTTTACCATATTGATTAATCTAGATTCGCAGTCCTTACACTGGGTTAGGTATCTTTCTCATGATAACCTAAACACATAGTTTTAAGGGAATCATTTTTTTTAAAGATCATTTTATTAGGGGCTTACAGCTCTTGTAACAGTCCATACATTCAAGCAGATATGTACATATATTGCCATCATTATTTTCTAAACATTTACTTTTTATTTGAGCCCTTGATTTCAGCTCCTCTCCCCCCACCCCACCCCCCACCCCCTGGCCCTCGGGAACCCTTGATAAATTATAAATTATTATTATTTTCATATCTTTTTTTTCTAATCATTTTATTAGGGGCTCATACAACTCTTATCACAATCCATACATACATCAATTGTGTCAAGCGCATTTGTACATCATTCTCAAAACATTTTCTCTCCACTTAAGCCCCCAGCATTAGGTCCTCATTTTCCCCCTCCCTCCCCGCTCCCCCCTCCCTCATGAGCTTAAGGGAATCATTTTACAGATCTTAACATCCATAGGTTCCTACAGCTTCATGCTCATTGTCCAGAAAGCAGTTTATCAAAGAACTTTTCTGTCTTCTTTTTTCATAGTCAGTCTTCAAAACACATCCTGTTTCCAAATAATTTGTAATTTTAAATATATTTACCAGTTTTGGGGGGAGTGAATATCAAATATGTTTGCATTTAAGTGGTTTTTAATATTTTACCCTCAACTAGATTACTATGTCATTGAAAATGATTTTTGGTGATAGAAACTTTGGTATGTACGTTAGAGGCATGGGAAAGTAGCGTGGCAAACAAGGAGCCCAGATGACCTCATGGTTCCGGTTGGGCTGTTAGATGCAAGGTCAGCAGTTTTGAGGCTGGCAGTCACTCCTCCGAGCTGACTGCTCCCTTGAAGAGTTCAAGTGTCAGACCACCCACAAGGGCAGTTTTGCAAGGTCTTAGTGGAACAAATGGCAATGGGAGTGGGTACAGCAAACTAAAATTTTCCATTGTAAAGCATTTCGTTTTCTTCAGATTGATGATGCGTATCAGTGGGATGGTGTTTAGAGTCTACTGAGTAGATTTAAGAATGATTTAATAGTCTATTTTAAAGTGTCATTGGGTACAATAAGCCTAAACTATTAATATATTTTTGCAGCTCTTTAAACTTATGCTGGAAAACTTGAAAGCTGGCTAAAATGTGTATAAGGGGGATACATTTGGCTCCAGAATTACTTTAGGAGTTAAACGTAACAAAAATTTTGAAGAGCATTTATTTTCCTGCATATCTTGGTTAAGTATCACTACCCATTAATTTAGCTCCTAACCGAGAACAGCACTTTAAATTTTATGACGACTCTTTTCTTCACATTGTTTCATGTCCTGCCAGGTTTGGATCAGAGCAGAGGCTACTGATCTTCACCAGGCTGTGCCTAGACTTTGCGTTTCCCTTCAGCCCCAAGTTTCCAGTGCCCAGTCCAGCTTGTTCCACTTCCCCCGGGTGGGTGATTCTTCCTCTGAACCCACACAGCTGTTCCTGCTTATTTGGCTTCAGCCCCCCCCCCCCCGCCCCGAACCCCACCAAATAGTTGATTTACACTGCAATTTCCTACCTCATGAATGCTATGTGTATTTTTTCCCTGACAACAATTTATATTTCCCCTATAAATCTGGAGGTGCTGCTTGCTCTGAGTGGAAGTTGAGTTGGTAAGGAGTACAGAAAAAGGGACAGGTTTATTACCTAACTCCATAATCTAGACAAACCTGGCTTTTGTCAACCCAGATATATACCAGTATTTAATTTATGAAAGAAAAGATGAAAGATGAGTCTGGTGTTGCTTGTTCTTGAAGCCATACTGTCTCCCAAGGATTGCACACTTTATAAATGGCATACTAGGGTTTAAGCTGTTAGATTCCACGGTTTTGTTTTTCAACATACGATGCTGCCTCCAGTCTCTTGTTGGCAAAGTCTGTTTCTTTGTCTTTTAAAGAAAAGTATTAGGACTTTTAGTTACCTCATTTCCAATTCTCCTGTTTTTTACAGTCCTTAAATCACACCTGTCTTTCAAGCATCTTACTGGTACCTGCCTTCATCCCCCTGGGACATAATTCACCTAGGCTAGAAAATATGGAACACATATGGAATACTAAAAGCATTTGTAGGATCTCTTCAGAATTGGAAAATTTAGCTCTCACCTCCTAGCGTGTGTTCTCTTCTTCATCCCTGTAATTACCTTTGATAGAGAAGCACAAACTAAACCAGAGTAAAGAGTTCTATGTTCAGCAATATCCTCTGCTACCCACAATTACATAACCAGTAGGTCTATTGTTTGGCCGTTGCCAAGGAAACCTTTTCTCTGTATGTTTTGCAAGGCTAACTCATTGTGAACTCTTATCCAGCCGTCCTTGCACTATTCTGAGTCGTCTCAGATGTTTAGCGCTTCTTGAGTGATATGCTCTTCATTTCACCCTTCATGTAAGTTTTCTCTAAAGCTGAGATTATCTTAGAGCTGTCAGTGTAACCCAGGCATGTCTCTCTCCCCACCCCTCCTTATTTAAAAAAATTATTTGAATGGAAATTGTTTTGTTAAAATGTAAAAATTTCAGTTAAAAAGTAAAATTTTGTCCTTTTGAGTTTTTCTCTTGTTCTCTGACGCTACGTTATTAGTGATCTCATATTGAAGGAGAGCATGCTTAACTTCTGCTTTTAATCTTCTAACTTTGACAATGAGAAATTATTAAATTTTAGTAGTATTTCAGTTCAGAATGGCATTTCTCCCAGGCAGTGTTGAAATGTAAGCATTCAAGTCAAGAACTTGTCAAATACCATACTGTTAACCACATACAACTTCACACTCAATTGTAACTGTTCTTTCCCTAAGACTACAAGAAGTTTCTCTATGCCAGATTTCTAATTTATGAAGTACTTACTTGTTAACAGTTTCTTTTGTTTTTTAAACCATTTTATTGCGGGCTCGTACAACTCTTATCACAATCCATACATAACATACATTCATTGTGTCAGGCACATTTGTACATTTGTTGCCATCATCATTCTCAAAACATTTGCTTTCTACTTGAGCCCTTGGTATCAGCTCCTCCTTTTTTTCCCATCCCCTCCCTCCCCGGACCCTCTCCCTCATGAACCCTTGATAATTTATAAATTATTATTATTTTGTCATATCTTACACTGTCCGACATCTCCCTTCACCCACTTTTCTGTTGTCCATTCCCCAGGGAGGAGGTTATATGTAGATCTTTATCATCGGTTCCCCCTTTCCACCTCGCCCTCCCTCAAGAGTTTCTAATAAATAGTGAAATATTTCTGTATTTTTCCTTTAGCCATGTATACTGCAATGTGTTCCCACTGCCGGGTCATTGGTTTGTCTTATGGTTGTTCCATGCAGCATCTATACTATAGATGATTCAGCCCCACTTCACCTTGACCTTTCTTAAGTCGACGTTTCTTTGGACTAACACACTTTCTACCTTAGTCTGATTACTATCATCCATCTGAGTCTTAATATTACTCTCAGATCTTTGCACCATACTAGTTTATGATAATTAATTTCACATTATTACCCATATTGTTTAAGAAAAGGTCTCAAGATTTTAATTATCTTCTTACAAAAAATAATATTCTTACTAAAAATATTTATCCACTGATAACTGAAGTGTTTCTAATTTTACCGTTACTTTTCCTCTAGGATTCCCCAAGAGCCCAGCTCCGAAGGACAATAGAATGTTGTAGGACCAATTTGTGTAACCAGTATTTACAGCCTACACTGCCCCCTGTTGTGATAGGTAGGTTGGCCGAATAAAGGAGCATGATTTTATTTTTTTAAGTGATTTCTATGAATTTTAACAGTAAGCAAACCACCTAGAATTTAGCAGTCAAATTATTGGTTGTTGTTTTTTTGTTTGTTTTTCCAAATGAACTGTGGCAGAAAGGTAACCTCTTGACTTCCATTGTCAGGCCCCTTTTTGGATGGCAGCATCCGGTGGCTGGTTGTGCTCATTTCCATGGCTGTCTGCATAATAGCGATGATCATCTTCTTCAGCTGTTTTTGTTACAAGTAAGAACACTTATTTTGCGGGGAGGAATTTTCAGGTTCCCTTTGAATTTTCATTTAGAATTGTTGAGCAGTAGGGATTCATTGGATGTACTTAAAATATTCTGAAAAACTGCAGAATATTGGAAATACTAGACCTCAAGAGTTGCCTTAAGGTAAATGGACACAAGCCACTGACTTGAATGGAGTATAGAGATGGTTAAACTATTATCTTTTTAAAAATTAGATTGTAGTTTTGTTAAAAAAAATTTTTTTTTAAAGATCTCAGCATCAATAAAAATAAGCCTTGGGTGAAGGGAGACAATGGACAGTGTAAGATACAAAATAATAACACCAATATATATAATTGGTCAAGGATTCACGAGAGTGGGGGAAGGAGGGGTAAAAAGAGGAGCTTATACCAAGTGCTCAAGTAGAAAATGTTTTCGAAATGATGGCAACTTATGTACAAATATGCTTGATATGTATGGAATGTTATAAGAGCTATAAGAGACCCAATACAATGATTTTTAAATAAAGACATTAGAATTTTTTGACAAGAAATTTAAATAAAAATAAACCTTTTACATATATCAATATGAACAGATGTATTAAACATGTTTTAATATATTAGTGCAGAATACAAAGGGGCTTCAAAAAGTTTGTGAGAAATGGCATTAAAAATAATGGAGTTTTCACATGAACTTTTCACAGTCCCTGCATGCTGTTTATGTACATAACTTACACATTGAAAACTGTGGTGTTTATGAATATATGTACATAAAGTAGAAGTATAAATACTTAGGATATAATCACTTTCAGGCCGGAAGGAAAAGATAAAATGAGGTTTATCAGGGAAGTGGTTGGAATTTTAAGTAATTTTTGTGATAATCATTTATGTAAAATACAGTGAAAGCTGGAATTTAAGAAGATTGCCTGTCCTAGTCCCACAACACAAGTTTGTTACTTTTGAACAGAGTGCAGCTTACCATTTTAATTTTGCTCTCCATTAGTGGAAAATATTTGAATTATCTAATAAAATAAATGTAACAAATTTAAATGGTGTACATCATTGAAATTAATCTCAAACTTCCTGTCAGTGTAAAATATTTTATAATTTGAAACTTGAGAGATCATCCAAAATATCAGAATGAATTATTAGAAGAACTTGTTAGATGTCTATTAAAGTTCCTTTTCCCATTTTTGAATATGGAAATACATTTATTATTTTACTATTAAACTACATAGAGTGATACCTCAGTTGTCAAACTCAATTAATTTCAAAACTGTAAAGTTCAAGCACCGAACATAGTTTTCCGATAAGAAATAATGGAAAATAATTGCTTTTGATGCCCCAAAACTACACTTATAAATTCCTTTTTCCAGGTCTTTAAATCGTGATGGAGGCGTGTAGCCCTCTTGCATGTTACTGTTGCGGATATGCTCCTGCATTGAGTTATTTCTCATTTATCCACATTAATAGTAACTTTTCAAGCTCTTCCGTGGTCTGGGTTCTTGGGTGTGTGGTTAACAATTTCACACTTTTATTAGCCGCTTTCATCACTTTCTTCCTGCCCCCAAATGTCGATAATGCCGACTCAGCCATGCTGAATTCAGCCCCCAAATCAGACAATGACCTAATTCAAATTTCCCAATGATTTCTTTCTTTTAATATATCGTGGTTTTCCTCTTAGTTTTACTGTCAGTAGCACTAACTCTCTTTGGAGCCACACACACACACACAAAGGCACAGTGACAAACATTTTGATGCACACTCGCAGCACTGTATGTTTTCTAAGGAGGCGCAGCACTTAGGCTGAAGCATCACCCCTTTGTGTCTGGACTCACTCTCCACTCGTGCAAGTTTTTCAAGGCAGATTTTCATTTCGACTATTGAGCAAAAGGAGCACTGAGCAGATTTTTTTTTAATCTTTGCTGTCTGAGTAATGGAAAGTTTGAGCTTGGAGCCATCTGACCACCAAGATATCATTGTACTTAAAAATTCAAATAATACCAAAATATATGTAAAATAGAAGGTGAATATTCATATACCTTCAGGTAAGTATTCATACACCTGTAAATTACTATATATCCTTTCCAAGGTTTTTAGTCCTAGACATTTTTGAATTATTTGGCAGCTAGAATCCTACCTTCTGTCTGTCTTTTTTTCACCCATGGCCAGCTTTCTACTTTTATATGATACAAAGAACTCTACCTCTTCTTCATTTCTAGACGTCTTTTATATCTAGCATAACATGATGTATTATGTAGTGATTAGCCCAATTTGGATTTGGTTCTGTCTGAAAGAGAATGGTATAAACCAACTGAGAGTGTTTACCTTAGGATTTTATAGTTTAAAATTTTTGATATAGATTGTTTTCTGCTTTTCTAAAAGACATTATTGCAAGAGCATCTCCAACAGACGTCGTTATAATCGTGACTTGGAGCAGGATGAAGCATTTATTCCATCTGGAGAATCATTAAAAGACCTCATTGACCAGTCACAAAGTTCTGGTAGTGGATCTGGGCTACCTTTATTGGTAAGACACAGTTCATAAAACATGGATGCTCTGCTGATACAGGCTGTGGCCTCATGATGTCAGACAGCATAATTGTTGCAAACTAGGAAACATTGCTGGGTACATTGTTTTTTTTTTCATTATTTAGAAAGATGCAGAGAAAAATGCACGATGAAATAAAAATAAGAGAAGAAAAACAAACATGGAAAAATAAGTTGGAGCCTTAGGTGAGGTTAGGAAAGAGAATGTGGTGCTGCATAAATGATAACGGCACCACACCGCTGCTGCCAATGGGAAGATAAACAGCTATCGGATTGATTGCATCTAATAAGGTTAAACTGGTTGTTGAAGTGTAACTATTTAAGATTCTGAAATCCAAGCAAATTCTCTCATTGATCTTTATAGAGAATACAGATCCTTCCATATGATACTATCTTACCAAAATACATTAATGAGAATAATTTTAAAGGGGGATGTAAGAAATGATAACAGAGTTCATATATGAAGATTCTCAGATGGAAGGTTGAGGGGACTCTGAGAAGCCCCTTATAGTAAGTATGCAATCACATCTGATTGAAATAAATATATTGAACGGTAATTTAAAAGTTTGTTTTCGTAACAGGAATTGAAACTGTTACAAGGCATGAGTGCATTTAAATACAAGGCCACTATATAAAGGTCATTGGGTTTACATATATTAACAACAACCCAGGTGCCCTGCTAGTACAATGGTAAAGCGCTTAGCTGCTAACCCAAAAGCTAGCAGTTCAAACATACAGTCTGCTCTTTAAATAGTGCAGCCAAGGGGGCAGTTCTCTTTCACACAGGGCCCGTCTGAGTCAGATTGGACTCAGCGGCAGACAGCAACAAGCAGTTGGAAACAAGCAAACTATATGTCATTTAAAATAACATTAAAAACTATGAAATAGTGAAGATTCTAAACATTATGCAAAGCTTATCATTGAAAGATATAGAACATTCCTGAAAGGAACTAAGATCTAAATGAATAGACATACAGAGCTTATTTGTGAAATATGAGACTCAGAGGTTCTATTAACATTTTAGTTAAAAAGAAAAAGATTTTAATTCTCAAACTGATAGATAATTTCAGTTCAGTCTAAATCAGAATCTAGAAGACACTCTTTTGGTAGCAATAGATGACCGGATTATAACATTTATATTGATGTGCAAAAGAGATAGGACAGCCAAACCAGTTTTAAAAGAACAAATGTTAAGGCCTTACCTGGTATCTGAATGTATTATAAAGCTATAGCAATCAATGCATTGAAGTGCTGGAATAAGAAAGACAGGTAGATCAATGAAACAGACTAGAGTGTCCAGAAATGACCCAAGCATCTACAGCTAGTAGGTTTAGTACAAAGGTGCTGCCATCTTTCAATTGAGATAGTCCATTTAGCAAATAGTGAAGAGTGAGCATCATTTATTGGCCAAAAAACAGTGAAACTATCATTCATTACTTCATACACAAAAATTACTTAAGAACAGATCATAGACAAATATAACATCCAAGACTGTTCTAAAAGCAAACATTGGAGAAACTCATTGTGACCGTGGGTTGAACAAAGATTTCTTAGGACACAAAAAGGGTGGTTCATTCATAAAATCATAACAAAGTAGACTGTCAAAATTAGAAACTTTTGCTATTGAGACGATGTTTTTTGAAATGGTTTTTAAAATGTTAAAAAGCAGTAATGTCACATTGAGGCCTAGCCCATTTCGTGTCGGCGGTTTTCATTTGCTTCCTACGCATGTGGGACATGGACAATGGCTAAGGAAGACTGAAGGATTATAATGTTGGTGAAGAATATTGACTATACCATGAAGAACAAAAATTTATATGAGGAAGTATACAGAATGCCCGTTAGAAGTAAATTTGGTGAGGCTTTGGACGTGAGAACAGGAGAGAACAGTCCCTGGAAAAAGACATCATCCTGGTTGGTAAAGTAGAGGGATAGGAAAAAAGCAGACGACGGCCCTACGCTGCACAGTGGCTACAACAGTGAGCTCAAACATAGCAGTGATGGTGAGGCTGGCCTAGGACCCTGCAGTGTTGTTTCTGTGGTACACAGGGTCACGATGAGTCCAAACCAAGTTGAAAGCACTTACAAGTGACAACAACAAAAATCTGTAATTACAAGACAATTTTAACTCCATTTTTAAGAATGGACGAAAAATTTCAAAGGACACTTCCACAAAGAGGAGCGAGCTGCCGGTAGATGAGCACATGAAAGGAGCCACAGCATCATTCGGCATGGGAAAATGAAAACTCAGCACACTGAGATGCCACTGCACACTCCCTAGATGACTAAAGCCGCAGTGTTCGGTGCTGACAAGTATTTAGAAGCAGTGCCATACAGTGCTTTGGAGAATGCAACATGATACAGCCACCGAGGAAGCAACCAGAACTGACATAGGAGGATGTTCACAAGTTGTGAGGAATGTAACCAGTGGCAGTGCACTATCGGTGTAGAAATTGTTGCATGAGGACCTAAACTGCTGTGTAAAACCTTCACTCAAAAAAGACAACCACTTTCAAAAGCAAATTTATTAAAACGTTAGTTAAACATATGCTTTCCATACAATGAAACAACCCTCTCTCTCCCTTTACTAAGTACTCAAATGAAAAGCATTCATTCACACAAAGATCTAAATGTGGATGACTGCAGTAATTTTGTTCATTAAAACAGGAAACAACCCAAAACTCTATCAGGTGGTAAATGAATAAACCAAGTGTGGTACATTAATATAGTAAAATACTAATCAATTTTTTTAAAAAAGGAATGAACTACTGAGAATGAATTTTGATGAGAATGAGAATGAATTTTGAAGCATTTTACAGTAAGGGAAAGAAATCAGACTCAAAAGGCTACGTATCGTCTCCATTGATAAGATACTGGAGAAAAGGCAACAAAGTACAGCAGTGATGCCATTTGCTAGGATGAGTGAGGAAGGGATTGATTTCAAACTAACAATATGGAACTCTTTGGTGATGGAAATGCCCAGCTTAATTGTGGTTTTTAATGGTTACATGACGATATATACCTTTGTAAAAACTCATTGAGCTGTAACCAGAAAGGGTGACTTAAATCATATGTAAGTACACCGCAATAGTTCTGACTTTTAAAATGATGCTATAAGAAGTGATACAATGAAGCAAGTCACTGTAAGTATCACGTAGACCAGGTAGACAAAGACCTACTTCTGGTGCCAGATTGTATAATGGGTAGCAAATCACACTTGTGTACACTAAAGGCAACCTTTGGAAATCTCAGCTTCCTCGCCCAGTTTAGTTCAGACCCCAGCTACCCGCCTCTCTCACCCCTGTTTATCCGGACATAGGAGCCCTGGTCATGTAGTGGTTACGCATTAGGCTGCTATCTGTAAGGGCTGAAATTGAAAACCACCAGCTGCTCTGCTGCAGAAAGATGGGGCTCTTTACTCCCATAGTGAATTACAGCCTCAGAAACTAATAGGGGCAGTTCAACCATGTCCTTTAGGGTTGCTATGAATTGGCAGCAATTCGATGGCAGGGAGTTTGCTTGTTGGTTTGTTTGACCAGCAGGTAATAGCTGCAAGCTCAGGCTTCCACAAAACTACCTGTCCTTGCTCATTGAGTTTCTTCATTTGCTGGGATGGCTCACAGAGCTTTAAGAAATACCACAACTACAGTCACACACCCCTACAAATTAAAAATGAGATGAATGATGATCTGTGAGAGGTAATTTTGTGAGTCACTATTCTTCCTTGCATGGTTAGCACCAACCGAGAATTCTCCCTTTTCCAAGGGTTTGTCCAGATCAGGCCCCAGGTGTTCCCATTTGGTCAGGTCTGTCCCTATCAGTAGTCTCAGGTGTTTATCCTGGGAGAACAACCGTTAACAACAGCTAAATCAGTTCTACCCCACGTGTCTCCGAGCTGGAACCTGTTTTTGTGTGTCTGTTAACATTGGTTCCACCTCAGAGGAACCTTGTGTTCTACAGAATGAGCTGTTGCCCGGTCATGGACTAGACTCACAATCATTGTGTTTGAATCAGTGTCAGTCCGTCTCATTAAGAACTGTCTTGTCTTTTCTTTTTTGCTAACCCTTTACTCAGCATGATATTCTTCTTCCAGGAGTGGCCTCTCCTCATAGCAGATCTTGCCACCCTTGTTTCTGAGGAGCCTTCAGGCTGTTCTTCCAAGCTAGACGGTGGCTCTAGTGGCATTCCACAGCACTTCAGTCTTCTTCACCGAGACCGTAATTCCAATGCATCAACTCTTCTCTAGTCTTACATATTTATTGTCCATCTTTTGCCTTTGTATGAGGCAATTTAAAGTGCCATGGCTTTGGGTGGGTCATACCTTCGTCTTCAAAGTGATGTCTTTACTTTTTTGACACTTTAAGGAAATGCCCTACCCCCATGCTTGACAGATTTGCCCAGTGAATACGTCATTTAGTTTCAAGAACATGATGGCCTATTAAATTTACAGAGATACTAATGCATCTGAAGATGAAAGGTTACAGTAGTACATCTTTTGTTCATTTAACAACTCTTTAATAAGCAACTTCACTGTACATAAATCACGTTCCTATATAAGTAACTATTCTGATGGCAGAGGTAATGTAATTCAAACTTATAATTATAAAATTTTAATTGTGATAAGTGGTACCACTGAAAAATGTGTGTTGACAGATGCACATGTTTGACAGAAACAGAATCCGAAGTGAAGGGAAGTGTACATGCAGAAAGACTGGAGATAGGAATGAATTTGAGTCAATTCTAGGAGTGGAAAGAAGGCAAATAAGAGTAGTGGGAGTATGTGATTATACTGAATGGCAAGGGGGGAAAATTAGAGAGGGACCAGATCAAATGGGTCTTGTAGATTGGGTTGAAGATTTTGAATTGCCATTTAGATTTATTGCACAACCAACCACCCTAAAACTTAGTGTCTTGAAGCAACAAAAATTTATTGTTTCTCATGATTCTTTGAGTCTGTTGAGTAGTTCTTCTGTATTGGTAATAGTTCATGCCAAGGGCTGATATTCACATGGTATTCTTCATTGGCTGCAGGGTTCCCAAGAACAGCAAGAGAAGGCAAGTATTGTTGCACAAAAACTTTTGAAGTCTTTGCTTGGGTCACATTTGCAATTGTTTAACTGGTGTACACAGCCATATGACCAAGCATAATGTGTAGGGGTATACTACCCAATAGCTTGTCCACAATGACGGGGAAGTATTATAACATTGGACTTGGTCAGTTGGTAGATGTGCCATACTTTTTTCTTGGAATGATTAAACTGATTTCTTAGTCTTAATTAGTTCTTTTTGTCAAGCGTTCAAAGCCTTTTCCTTTTTTTAAATGAAGGTTCAGCGAACTATTGCCAAACAGATTCAGATGGTTCGACAGGTTGGTAAAGGCCGATATGGAGAAGTGTGGATGGGCAGGTGGCGGGGTGAAAAGGTGGCCGTCAAGGTGTTTTTCACCACTGAGGAAGCTAGCTGGTTCCGGGAAACAGAAATCTACCAAACTGTGCTTATGCGTCACGAAAACATCCTTGGTGAGTACATATTTGACTCGGTTTGATTTCAGCCAATCACATCTTCTGGAAAGGTTAGAGCAGTAGTTCTCAGCCTTCCTACTGCTGCAACCCTTTCATACAGTTCCTCATGTGGAAACTCCCCAACCATAAATTATTTTTGTTGCTACTTCTTAATTGTGATTTTGCTAATTATGAACCAGGCGACCCCTGTCAAAGGGTTGTGCGACCCCCAAAGGGTTTGCAACCCCCAGGTTAATCCTAGGGTTTGAGGGATGCATGTGGAATCCAGCCATATGGGCTTTGAAAGCAAGTGTGTATTCACTTGTGTACGTTTGACTCTAGAAACCCAACAAAATGTATAAGTTAAACACAACACAATCCTAAATGTCAACCAACCACTTTATTTACTTCTGAATTGAAGGGACTAGAAAGCTGCAAGATTAGAAGAAATTCTACTGTCTTGGACTTCACATAGTAGCAAAAATTAAGTATATTATAGACGGTTTAAGCAATTTTGAAAGTAATTTTAAGTAGATGTACCTTAAATGCCTATCATAAGCTAAATAAATGCCTCTCACCATATGATACAGCTTTATTGTTCCCCTACATTTACACACTAAAATAGTGTAGGGGTGACCTAACCGGTAGCGTACATAAACTGATCAAGCTCTCCTGGCTTTTCTGTTCACTTACTGTTTCCTACCCTTCAGTCTGAACTGATGTGTAGAACAATAGCATGTAGAAGACACTTAGTGACCTTTTTTGGCGGGAGGGAGAAGAGAAAGGGATGAGAAAACAGTATTGCAGGCAGACCATCAACAAACCATCCTGAAAAGGCAAATATAATGAGGTGTTGGTGGGCAGATTGGAATTGACTTACTTAGGAACTGACTCTAAAGCGACATTTTATCATTCTGAAGTGCCCACTGTTCAATTCATTTCCACACTCTAAAAAGTAACCACCTGCTTAGAGTGTCATGTAGCTTGATTGCACCTCCCTTATTATTATATGACATGTGATTTTACTGAGGCCCTGGGTGGGGCAAATTGTTACTGCTCTACTTCTCACGAGAGGCTGGAGTCCAACCAGAGACCTCTGGAGCACAGTTGTGCTCTGACATGCAAGGGCTCACCGTGAGTCAGAATTGACTCGTTGGCAATTGGTCACGCTTTTTTCTTTGTCATATTATTATTTTCATGCCATTGTTTATATTATGCAAAATAATATGTGCATTAATAATGTATTATTATTATATGTAGAAATAATGTACTAATGGTCGTAATGCAGTTTATGGCAACAAATAAAGGAAATTTTGTTGGGCCAATTAGATTTACAGTATATCATCTCTTTAATTACCTAGGTGGTTCTCAGAATGAGCATTTATTACTCTTATCCAGTCACCTCTTCTAATAATCTAACCTTTTAAACTCATTAATTGGACAGGTTTTATAGCAGCGGACATTAAAGGCACAGGTTCCTGGACTCAGCTCTATTTGATTACTGATTACCATGAAAATGGATCTCTCTATGACTACCTGAAATGTGCTACGTTAGACACCAGAGCTCTGCTCAAGTTGGCCTATTCGGCTGCCTGCGGCCTGTGCCATCTCCATACAGAGATTTACGGCACCCAAGGAAAGCCTGCGATTGCTCATCGAGACCTAAAAAGCAAAAACATCCTCATCAAAAGAAATGGAAGTTGTTGTATTGCTGACCTGGGTCTTGCTGTTAAGTTTAACAGGTGAGTGGCTCTTTTACCTATATTTTGGAATTATTTCAACTTCAAGAAAAAACTTGCTTGTTGAATTCAGGATGGTATAAGTGTATTTATACACATAAATCGTTATTGTACACACATAATTGAATTTGTTTCCTTTCTTTAAAAAATTGTATCCTGTTTTCCGTAATTACAGTTTCCTGCTTTTTATTGTCCTAGATAACTTTCATTTCAGTTTTTATAGATCTCTTTATTCTTATTAACTGATGTCACGTTATCTGCAAAGTGGGTGTATCGTCTAATTTATCCCGATTATTACCTAACTGGACAATAAAGTTGTCTCTAAGGAGCCTTAGTGGTGCTCTTGGGTAAGCATTAGATTGTTAACTGCCAAGTTGACAGTTCAAACCCGCCAGGTGCTCTGTGGGAGAAAGGTGAGGAGGCTCTCTGCTCATGTAAAGATTTACAACGTTAGAAACTATGTGTAGCATTGCTTTGAGTCAATGGCAGTGGGTTTTTGGAAAGTTGTCTTGTAGTTTATCTGTCATTATAAAAATGCTTTAATGAACATTATTGTTTTATACTCCTGTATACATTCTATATCTTTGAGCACTTTTATTAAGTGCTTTAAGATGTATTACTAGGGAAGATGCAAATCAGACAATGGGTGTATACATGTTAAAATGTTATGTTGCACATTATCCTTTCATGAAATATACATCAATTTATATGCTTACAAGCATTACTTTATTCAGTGATATTGTAAATATTTCAAAATATCTACTTTACCAAACCTTTGAAGCCATCCTAATATTGTTATAATTAGAAAATGCAATAGTTATTTAGTGTTTCAGAATTTATTTTAGTTACTAAAGTGAAAATGCCAGTCTGTAAGGTATAGGTTTGACAGAAGATATTTCTACACGTGTTGAAATACCATATTCTTACCTTTGCTCCATATTCCTACCTGTGCTGCATATTCCTACCCGTGCTGCATATATCCATGAATATGGTGGTGGCACATGCAGGGAATAAAGTTACTGAGGGGGGGTGTGCGTGCAGGGGGGTGGGACATTTTTTTAGCTGCTTCATAGTACAGTGTCCAAAATCTGTTCAAACTGGATAGTTACGCAACAATGTCTTAACTATCCATGTCTCCTAACTCTAAAATTCAGTCCAAAAATTGGGGTGGGGGAGGGGGAGACCTGGTAGACATAATTTATTACTAATTACATAAGAAATAATTATGGAACAATTGAAAATTACAGCTGAACTAAGTAGTTCACTAAGTAAGTAGTGTGATTAGGTGCTTAAAGAACAAAATGTTTTCCTAAGTCTTACCACTGAAAAAGGTGACTCTTTATTTTCTCGTTAATTTTCTTGGAACTTTCACTTGTTTCTCAGTCACGTTTGTCCTTACGCCTAGATTTTGCTTTAGTTATCTCCTTACTCCCCGAAGTAAGGTTTTTTCCTGCGAGCAAGTGAATGAGAATCTTTCTTGACTAGGTCACTTTTGACTCCTTTCAGCTCCTGAACCCTACCCCATTCTAGCTTCCACCACTGTCATATCACTGTAATAGCTCTGACCAACTTGCCTTCGTGTTGAGAAATCTAAATGCTGTTTTTAGTTGTCGACTTATTTAACCTCAGCAGCAGTGCTGACTTCTTGCATACTTGCTTCTCTCGGCTCCTGTGACATAACACTCCTGGTTTCTTTTCATTTCTCCAGATGTTCTCCTCTGTCCTTTTACAGGATCATCTACTTGACAACCAGGGTGCAGCCAGCAGGCCCTCTCCTTTTCACACTCATAATCTGTCCGTAGGTGACACTCTCTGTGCCCATGACCTTAATTTCCTCTCCACAAAAACAGGAAGGAAAAAGTGCCAACCAAATCTATTTGTATTTACTATTCACAGCTAGTAGCAGAGCTAAGAGAATATGATATGTAATGGTTAACTTTTACATGCATGGTCTTTTCTGCTAAAATGTAAGCAGCATGAGAGTAAGTCGTGTGTCTGTGCCGCACCCCACCCCACCCCGACACACACACACTAATTGCCAGTATCCAGTTGTACAGGACTTGGCCCATAGGAGATGCTCAGCACATACATATTGAATACTTTTCCTACATGTTTTAGGTGTGTGTGTACGTGATTATAAAATTTCTGATCATACACAAAAGAAGAGTGTAAACACAGTTCTTAAATTTATAATTGGTATTCTTTCCATGATACTGCTAACGTAAAACCAGTTATAAAACTTGAATGTTTAATGAGATTTTCTACATAAATTTTCAGTCCTTTTCTGCAGTCTTGAAATCTAAGAACTGAGAATGATAAAGGTAAATGATTCCTCTTGATTTATTTTCACATTCTGTTTTATGGGACGCATTGTCATTTATAGTTAGAATTGCCCTCTTTCCTCACTTGGTGGCAAAACCTGGCCTGAAATGTTATGAAGTGTTGATTTCTCTTTGTTTATCTAACGTAATGTTTCACTGTGGACGTAATACTGGGCTTGGTTAAGAGTACTGTTCTAGATTCTTATTGGAGTAGTACTATAATTTGTAGCATATAGTTAAAGGGCTATTACTTTTCAAAAATTGGAAGATACTGAATTTCAGAATGCACCCGGCCTTAAGAATTTCTCTTAAGGGATTGTGGAAATGTGTAGAGACTAACAATTACATCATGAGACACTACGGAATTCATTGTTTTATCAGCATGGACCTCAACAAGTGTGGCATTTTTCATCTTTTTCAGCGACACAAATGAAGTTGATGTGCCCTTGAATACCCGGGTGGGCACCAAACGCTACATGGCTCCCGAGGTGTTGGATGAAAGCCTAAATAAGAGCCATTTCCAGCCCTACATTATGGCCGACATCTATAGCTTTGGCCTGATCATTTGGGAAATGGCTCGTCGTTGTATTACTGGAGGTATGAATTTGGGGTGGCATGTTCTGATTGTACTTACATACCTAGCATTTAAAAAATAATAGCTCCAGTTCTGTAAGTTAAGTGTCATGTGAGTCAGAAGACCACTTTGGCTGTAGCTGTGAAGGTTTGGTGCTGTAGAGTTGGTTCTGACTCGTGGAGATGCTGTGCACAGCAGAACAAAACACTGCACTCTCCACAGTTGTTGCTATACGGGAGCCCAGTATGGCATCCACATGCCATAGAGGATCTTCCTCCTTCACACACACACACACACACACACACACACACACACACCACCCCCACACCCCCCCACACATACTTACTTCGCTCCCCAACCCACTTTACCAGGCATGAGATCCTTCTCCTGGGAAATTCTGTGACAGCATGTCCGAAGTATGTGAGACCATGCCTAGGTCCAGGAATTTCCTAGAAGGAGTCACAGGATTCAGGATACTCGTAGCTAAGATTGATTGCAGCAAAATGATACAGAGCAAAATCAAAGGGAAAAATCACCGGGGGTGGAGGTCAGAGAAAACAAGTTCTGTTCTTCCCAGCGGAAGCCCTGGTGGCACAGTGATTCTGTGCTTCTTTGCTCCCCGAGAGGCTAGCCGTTTAAACCCCCAGCTGCTCCATGGGAGAAAGACACGGTGGTTGGCTTCTCCGAAGATGATCAGCCTGAGAAACCCCACGGGGCAAGTCGATGAATTGGCATCGACTCACCACAACGGAGATTGATTTTGTTTTGTTGTCTGCTTCTGTGGGCTTCATTCTACCAGCAACAAGCTGTGCTCACTTGGTAAATACCGTCACCCAGGGAAACTCCCGAGAGACTCAGACCCAAGCCTTTTCTTAGGCTCTGGTCATGGAGTGATTCTCCGCTTAGCATGTATCAAGACTCCAGACTCTTAGAAGGGCACCAGGTGTCCAGCGTGAGCTGCAGTATTTGTATGCACTGTTTAGACAGAGAACGACTCTGAGCACACTGAGGAAGTTTTATTGCTGCAGCAAATTGCTTAACATGTTCCCAGACACCAGCTTTCAGGCCACTCTTACAAGCAACTAACCTTTCTTTCTTTTTTTCTCTGTGTGTGTTCTTTATTTCTTTCTTTATTTTTAATAATTTTATTGGGGCTCATACAACTCTTTATCACAGTCCACACATACATCAATTGTGTAAAGCACACTTGTACATTCATTGCTCTCATCATTCTCAAAACACTTGCTTTCAGCTTGGGCTCCTGGAATCAGCTCATTTTTCTTTTTTGTTTCCCCCCTCACTTCCCTCCCCGCTCTCCCCTCCCTCATGAACCCTTGATAATTTATAAATTATTATCTTACACTGCCCGATGTCTCCCTTCACCCACTTTTCTGTGGGGGGTGGACAACAGCAACTGACCTTTCTAATGTTCACAGCCTCAGACCTGTTTTCCTAACTGTTGTCTGTACATCATGTTAAGTCTTTCTACTGCAAAAGCAAGCCACTTTTTTTTTTCTTTCCAGGAGAGCTGTCATGTAAAAAAAAAAAAAACGTATTAAAAATTCAGAGAAGTACACATTTCACTTTAGGGTTTGGTGATAATTCCCTTGGTGGATAGAATACATCACAGCTGTAATGGGGACCTTCTGGAGCTAGAGGGAATAACGGAATATTAACCAAGCGAAGGGCATGCAATTACTTTTGAATGTGAACTATCAGCTCTCTGCTTTTATTAGTCTACACGTAGGGACCAGTTTTTGTTTCATAGCTCAGGGAGAGATGCTCTGTAGATAGAGATATATTTTGTTCAGTCACCATTTTTGTGCCCGGTGTGTTCTCTTCCTTCCTTACAGGGATCGTAGAGGAGTACCAATTGCCATATTACAACATGGTACCCAGTGATCCTTCATACGAAGATATGCGCGAGGCCGTGTGTGTCAAACGTCTGAGGCCAATTGTGTCTAATAGATGGAACAGTGATGAAGTAAGTGGAACTTAGTCTCCGGAGAAAGGGATGGGTAAGTCTTGCCAAAGATGCTTACATGCCTTCTTTTTCCTTCCTAGTGTCTGCGGGCAGTTTTGAAGCTAATGTCAGAATGCTGGGCCCATAATCCAGCCTCTAGGCTCACAGCATTGAGAATCAAGAAGACACTTGCCAAGATGGTGGAATCCCAAGATGTAAAGATTTGACAGTTACACAACCATGAGGGAAAAGTCTACATTGCCCCTATTTCTGTCATCTAAGGAATGGCGAGAATTGGGACTCTTCCTCACTACACCTTCACGGGCTGCTAATATTAACCCTTTCAGTACTCTGTAGAATACAAGCTGGGGACTTCTAGACACTTCAGTCTTTACATATGGACAGCTTTATTTTAAATGTGGTTTTTGGTGCCTTTCTTTTTAATTTTTTTAATTTTTTTTTTTTTTTTTAAATGAACTGCATCAAGACCTCAATCCTGTTAAGTCTCCAGTCAAAGTCTGGATATTGAATTGTCTGTTATTGAAATGGTGCTTTCTGTGAAAGCCTTAAGAAGATAAATCAAGTGAGCAGAGATGGAGAAATAATGACTTTTGCCTCTTCCTGGGTAAATGTAACCTGTTTGTTTTCCACCTTTGTCAAACAGCCTCTGAATTACGATCTGTTTGGGATACCACTTAGTTTGTCATGCCTGTATAATGAAATGCTCGTGTGTGGGAGGTGGTGGCCATGCACATGCTCACCAGGATTATGAGTGCACAGGAAGACATTGGTGGCTAGTATGTTGTGCTTTTAAAATGCAATATCTGACCAAGATTGGCCAACCACATAAAAACCAATTATCTTACCAATGAGATCAGTTTTCTCACCAATTTCATTGTTTTTTTTTTAATGTAGCAGTTTATATAAAAACCAAAAGATTTTAAAAATATCTATAAATTTGGATTTTGTTTTCCTACAACCATCTCTCTGGTTTTGGTAGTTATTTTTTTGTCATGAAAAGCATCCTGTCCAAAATTGGACCTTTTGATGCCTTGACCCTTCTAAAGAAAACGCTTCTTGATGAAGTGTGCTACTGCGTTTTGTGAAAGTGCCTATAATCATAGTCTGTATTATTTGCTCTCAGTAACTTTGAAAGGGAAGTTATTTATATTTTGTGTGTAGTGTGCTTCATTTGCAGAACTCTTGCTTCAGTACAACTATATTCATACATTCATACTGTAGAAACGAGCTTTTGTGCACCTCACATACATCCTTAAGAGGAAAAAATGGAAAACATCACCAGGGGAAAAAAAATTTTTCCTTTTTGAAAGGAACCACTCATTAGAAATTTATGTTAGAAAATATGTAAGTTTATCAACAGTTGAATACATTTTATTAAGCATTTAAATTCATGAAATTTTTGGTTTTATGATTTCTGTTCCATAACTTGTACAGAAAATTAAGTTGGGCTCCCTGAAAACAAACAAAAGAACAGTTCTCCATGTCTATACATAATTTATAAATAGTATTCAATAAAATGCTACATATTTTATAGGCGCCTTGTTATCCCAAGGATTTTTGTTTTACCTAAAATTATATTTTGTCCTATTCTGAAAAACAAAAAAACAACTCATGGGTACCTCAAGCCAGACAATTTTCTGTGAAGGAAAAATGCGATATATGTGTACTCAAAAAGCTATAAATTAAATGGAAGGAAACCAGCATTCATTCATTTATTTCAAATTTGCATGTTGATAATACTTGTCCTTTAAAAATGTTTTCCCCAACTCTATACTGAGAAATGCAGATACTATAACCTAAATTGCCTTGTAATTTTAAATCACTTAGGAGTTCTGATTTACTTAGTTAGTCTTAAGTTAACCTTGATTCTTTTTTTACTTTATAAAACTATAAATCTTGAAAATCATTTGTTATCTAAATAAAATTGAATTTACTTGGCTAAATAGAATTGATTAATCTTAGGAACTTGCTTATTAGAAACAATTTCTAGCATGATAAGTTCTTTTAAAGACAAATCCTGCCATATTTGCAATCCTAACGTCCAAATAGATTATGTTATGTCCTTGGTTTTTCTTCGCCCTCTCATCGCATGTCCATCTGGTAGGTGAAATATTGCAAGCACATGGCAGACCGGTAGGTGCTGTGTAGCAGTACAGTGTTCTAAACATATGTGACTCACACAGTCATCCCTTTAAATAATTAAAATATAAAAGTAAAGCAAATGCCAAACTTACGTAACTATACAGCAGAAATCAACTCATAAAATTATCCTTATAGCTCCTCCTTATCCTGGTAAATATCTCTAGAATTCCAGTTTGTTTATTTTACTCTTCATTTTGCTTTCTTTATCAACCAAGTTTCTGAAAGTATGAATTTTGATGCTAACTTCTCTGGAAATAATTTCACAAAAGATAACTTTAATTAGCATTTTATGTTGCCTTTCCAATGTCCAGAAAGTTTTCTAAACTTTGAATTTGACCTATATTTTTTGAAATATAGGTTTTCCTGATATGTGCCAGAGTTCCAATTTAGTCACTCGAGTAAAAATTCAATATCTTTTGTTTTAGATGATTTATTTCTCCATCCAAAATAAATACATAAATAAATAAAAATTTTAAAACTTACATGGATCCCTGACTTGGCCAAGGATCAAGTTTGAAGTTGAATTTATTACAGGGCAGAGATTATAAATTTAACTTACTTATATTTCTTTGAATATATGGTATTGTAAAATGTTTCTAAATATCTCAACAAATTTCAACCGCCGAAATACGGATTGTTATTTTAAATGACTGTTGTAGCCCTTGTACTATTTTGACAGTGGTGATATTTACTATTTACTTGGGTCAGATATTAAAATGACATTGTAGTGGTTCATTGTCTTCTGCCTCATCTAATGAGAGGAAACTGGAGTGATAAAGTGTTCATAAAACCAAATTAAATCTAGGCCAGCATAGTGTAAAACCTGATGTAATGATCATCCCATAAAGAAAATATGGGGAATATTGCTTTTACAGAAGACTAACTAAATTAACGTTTTTGTTTCTGCTCTGTCCTATGCTTTAAATGGAATTATTTAAGTCCTTTTAATGACATTTGTTGTGCCCATTTCAAAAGTAGAATGTAAGTATATATTATGTAAAATGAAAATACCATTATAGCTTAATTAGGGAAACTGTATGTAGACATTGAAAGAAACAAGCAATTTTATTATGCAATTATAAACCACCAAAAGAATAGATTCATATTTGATATGTAAAACACTAAATGTATTTTGTACCGCATCTGATATAAGAGGTGCCTTATTAAGTTGACCGTTAATTGCTTTGTTCTATATGCAGATTATGTCCAATGTATCATTTTTAAGTAAATAACCTTATTTTAGTATACCTTAGTGATGTGTTTTGTGGTGATGTACTGGAAGAGTATTGTGTATCAGAAGTCACAGTGACTGGTTGTAAGTACACGTGTGTGTTCCTGAGATATGGACTTCAACTACAGGAATCCAAGCTAGCACAGAGCAGTTAAGCGACCACGCACATGCCTTTGGTAGATAGAGAAGTTACTAACTAACCTATTACAGTAAAGGAATGTGCCCCGCCCCACTTCTGATTTTAAAGATGCATCCTTGTAGCAAAAATTTTTGAAAACAGGAAACAATAGGGAAGCAAACACATCACTAAAAATTCTATCTCCCAGAAATGACCGCTATTTTAAATGTTTCTTTTTTATCTTTTTCCTATATACCTTTTTTTAACAATATTAAGATTATAGTAAGTCATTAAATATATTGAAAGCATAACTTTTAAAAATTGGCTGCCTGATAGTCCACCAAGTACATAAAATAATTTATTTCTGCAATTTCCTATTGAATATTTGGGTTATTTCCGTTATTTTCAATTTAGCCAATGTATTGTACATTCTTTTACATCTCTATTTTCTTAGAATACATTCTTAGCAGTGGAACCAATGGATTGAAACATAATGGACTTTTAAAAGATTCCTTTTTATTTGTTTAAAATGGAGAGGGAGTGAGGAGATGGGGACTCTAACGCTCTTGATAAATATTGCCATATTGTTTCCCAGTAGAACGGTTTATTCATTTGCGCTCATACTAGCAGTGTGTGTGTGAGTACGTCTCACTACCTAATCAGATCCTCTGTTCAGCTCTGCCCAGTTCCTGCTAATAGATGTTAATGCCTCCTTGTCCTGTCACTAACAGCATGCACTGAGCGTAATGCCATGCAGTTATCTGGCCTCAGTACTTGGCTGCTAGCTGGAAGGTTGGTGGCTCAAACACCCCACCCCCAGCTGCTCTCTGGGAACCAGCAATCTGCTTCCAGGCAGGCCAGAAAACCCTATGGAGCTGTTCTGCTGCGTCACGTGACATCGCTGCCTGGTAAGCCGTGGAGCCCAACAGCAGACATGGGGTTTTGCTATAGCAAATGCCTTTTCAGAAACTTCCATTTCAGAGAGGTAAAACCTTTGGATGTCTTGCATTCTGCTCTGAAACAATATTGTTTTCCTCTTATATTAATTAGTCTTAATGTCAAAACAGAGCTGTGTCTGATTGTGTGCAAATGAGTATGAATTTCTGTGCCTTCTGATGTCCTTTTTTTTTTTTTACATTTTATTAGGGGCTCATACAACTGTTATCGCAATCCATACATCAATTGTGTAAAGCGCATTTGTACATCATTCTCAAAACATTTTCTCTCCACTTAAACCCCCGACATTAGGTCCTCATTCTT